ATCTTTAAAAAAAAAAAAAAAAAAAACTGCTCAGGTCTCGTCTCTTCTCTGTGCCATCTAACAACCCAGCGTTCTCTTCCCCAAGCCACCTCTTTACCTGGAGCTGTGGTTCTCAAATATTTTCATCTTAGACCCTTTTACCCTCAAATTATTGAGGACCTCAAGAATTTTTGTTTATATAGATTATATCTGTTGTCATTTACCAGATTAAGAATTAAAATTGAAGAATGTTTAAATATTTATTAATTCATTTAAGGTAGTAATAAGACCATTATCTGTTAGATAACATTTTTCAATAAATAACTATATTTTCCACACAAAAATCAGTTAGTGAGAAGAGTGGCATTGCTTTCCATTTTTTTGGAAATCCTTTAATGTTTGGTTTGATGAAAACAACTGGTTTTTTTTATGTTTGTATATCTAATCTGTTGTAATATCACACATCATGTAACCTCTGGAAAGCTCCACTCTATACTCATGAAAGAGTGAGACAGGCAAATAATGTCTTAGTATTATGGCAAACCCTGAACAACATGGGTTTGAACTGCGAGGTTCCACTTACAAATGGATTTTTTTCAACCAATTGCGGATGAAAAATACAGAATTTGAGGGATCCAGAACCCACATATTGAAGGCCAAACTTCACATATGTGGATTTTCAACTGTGCGGGGGTCGGTGCCCCAACCCCTGCGTTGTTCAAGGGTCAACTGTATTATGAAAATAACTCTCTGCACGGAAAATGCAACCAAGACACCCAACACTTCCCATGCCACACTTACACAACACCACCACCGACCCAGAGTCTGCGGACATAACTTTCAACTTTGCACAGTAACTTTCTTCACTTGCACTTTGACTTGGCATGACGCTTGTTCAACGATATCGTTTTCTCCTTTTTATATTCTAAAATCGTTGGGTTCAGGGGGCACCCGGATTTGAACCAGGGACCTCTTGATCTGCAGTCAAATGCTCTACCCCTGAGCTATACCCCCTCTACTGGTAGGAAGCAGATTACAGCTAAA